GTGCAGTTTGCAGCAAGCTCTCGAATCCGCCTGGTGATTGGGGTGACCATGAACGTGAAGGAACCAGCTTCCTTTTGGCAGCCAAAACAGCCGAACACGTGCTTGCCATAAACCTGCCTTGGTCATGTAGAGGTCAGATGACTGTCTCGTGACAAGGAACCCATCAGAAGTTAGTCACTAGAAAGTCAGATGCCTGTCTCGTGACAAGGAACCAATCAGAAGTTAGCTGGTGGCGCTATGCTTTACGACCCTGGGTGTGCTTTACAGACAAGCGCACAGCAATGACATAGAGAGCATAGCAACCACCCTGGGAGGGCCTATGAGCCATAACAACCAGTTGACCAATCAACACAGGGCAAGCCCTCCAAGCCTGGAAGCACACCAATCGTGAGCCTGTGCGTAAGCCTGTGCGTACCCCTAGACACTCCCCTTACGCTGCCCTATAAGATCTTTTGGGAGCCCGTAGGAGCCATCTTTTCTAGCCGTCCGCCATGGCAGGTGGGTAGAAGACCCGAGCTAACATGGGGTTAGTTCGTTAAATTACAATAAAGCCTCGTGCAGTTTGCAGCAAGCTCTCGAATCTGCCTGGTGATTGGGGTGACCGCGAACCTGGCCTGGGACCCCGAGTTTTCGGGGGTCTAACAGTGTCATATGTGACAATTCCATGACAATGAATATATGCGATGAAATGTTTTAAAGAAAAAAATGGAAATCAAGCTGATAAACATGCCTCTGGAAAATGAGGGATGAAACTTGGTAGTGACCTAGGCATGTTAGAGAGAACTTTGCTTTGGAATTAGTGAAACATGTGTTTGAATGCTAGTTATATACAAAATCGTATGGCTTTGGACAGATTACTAAATTTCTTTTGTTTTTGTTGTTGTTGGTGGTGTTTTCAAGATGGGGTTTCTCTGTGTACTCCTGCCTGTCCTGGAACTCTCTCTGTAGACCAGGCTGGCCTCAAACTTAGAGATCCACCTGCAAGTTACTAAGTTTCCAAGGACTCTTGTTACTGGTAAATAGTGATGACAGTGAATACAGTCTCACAGGGAATGGTGTTAAGACTAGGACAAAGGGTATGAATACAATGATACGGCACACAGTAGGTATTTGACATCAAATTAAGTTTTGGCTGTTGAGCGGTGTTGTCATTAGCTCCACTGTGGCCCACTGTGGTTTCTGCAGTTGCTCTGTGGCTATCTGGCCCACTTGCTGGGTTTCTGCTCCACTGTGAAACAGTTGTGCTTCCATTCCTTTGCCCTTTATATAAAAAAAAGCATAAAGGATGGTTGAAGAAAAGAAACAGTTTGTCTGTACATTAGCAGAACTACAGAGTGACTAGGACCGAGTTGCACAGTGGTTTATTCTAGAGCTTTATTTTTGTGGGTGAAGCAATGTGATTGTACTGCCATCTGAAACACTAGTGTACTTGACAAGAGTCCTGACTGTCTCAGTTAGGAAGCCACAGTTCAGGCTCCCAGTTTACCCAGTCCTTAAATCATAAGGTAAGGGCCTGGCCTTGGGGGGATCCAAACCAGTCCTGTTCTAAGAAAAGCTTCTAAGCTTAAGCCTAAATATGAATGAACAATGCCACTAAGGTTTGTGGGGAAGCGATACAGTTTGTTGTCTTCTCATTGCCTTTATTGGGGAGTTGATGAGTGACTTACGGGACTCCTAAACTGGTTCATTGTCATAAAACAACAAGGCGTGACAGAAGTGCCCCCTCTGCTAGTCAGCCTTTGCCAGTCTTGTCCTGTCTTCCCTTTACCCAATTCATCTTGGCTATTTTGGGGGTGGGGGATTCAATTCCTGGATTGCCAATTACCAAATTCTCACTTCCCTGAGACTTCACTTGGATCTCTTATGGATCTGATTTTTAGTTACAGAGATTTTGATTTGTGTTATACAATTGTCAGCTCCTGGGTTTCAGAGAAGCCATATTTAGTTTTGTGTTGGTCAAACAGCTTTCGTAGGGCACTGATGTAAATCTCAAAGTACTTTGCCACCGTCTCCTTGTCAGGATCACAGATCTTGGGGACTGGAAGGGGTTCTCCCACTATGGAGGAGAAGAGACAAGTATCAGAGTCCCTACCCCAAGCAGGCTACCCACACCTCAGCAGGGAAGCACATTCCAACAGTATCTAAGGATGTTTCCCCGCCCCCTTCATTCTTTCCCCTTGTTGCAGCTATGTTCTGGAGCTCACTTCCTGGTCACCTAGGTTCCACCAATATTCCAGAGAATGAAAGCAAGCACAGGAAAGAGCTGAGTGAGTATACTTGAATAATGGTGTTTTCCTCACAGCTGGTGAGCTCTGGCCTACCTATGAATGGCCCCAAGTGCCATCTATTTGGTTGTCCTTCCCATCCTGCTTTCAGCGGCACCTATTGCAATTCCCTTAGTGTATCCCAGTTGTGAGCCAGATTGCCTTGGGATTGCTGGATTACTGAGAGTGGGGACCAAGAACTTGAGTGGCCCAGAAAAAGTAGAAAGCTCACCAACGGTGGTAATTGGATGATTGAAAGGCAAAAAGCCCCAGGAGGTCCGAGTGAGGCCCCTGCCATGGAAAGTACAGAAATTTAATCCTAGGATTTTTTTGCCAATTTTCTGGAAGTTTTTTTGGAAGAACCTTAGCCATGTGCCTTCAGGGAAGGTCTCTTGGTTGAAAATATTATTCTCACCAAAGGAATAAGAAGGAACAAGGTATGCCCTGTAAAGAGAGGGACAACAGTATGAGCTTTCTATTGAGGCAACGCTCCCTCAACAATGCTTTGAGGTGGGAAACACCCCCAACCTCTGAACAATCGGACAAGATTTCAAGCACCCCAACATCCCCAGCCTCATGTTTCCTTCTTTTTTAAAAAAAAAACAAGCTTTTCTCATTTTACATACCAATGCCAGCTCCCTCTCCCTCCCCTTCTTCCACTTCCCCCTTCCACTACCCCACCCCCCATCCACTCCTCAGAGACGGTGAGATCTCCCATGGGGAGTCAACAAAGTCTGTCACCATCACTTTGTAATGGGACCAAGCCCCCACCCTGTCCCCCGCCCCCACTCCAGTTCAGTGTGGCTGCTGCACCTTAGCCCATGATGGGAAGAAACTCAGTAGACTTAAGCACCTTCATTTTGCATCCAGCATGATCTCCCCAAACTGCACATGCATGCACACCACTCCTCTCTTCCAAGTTCTCCCATGGCTCCTCAATGTGGCCCTCACAGTGACAAGCTCAGTGTCCTAGCCCTTCCTTTGTGGCCACTGCTTAACCATAGTAAGTGTGCCAAGTGCTCTCTCACCTCAGCCCTATGCTCTATTCCCTCTGCCTTCTCTCCTCGCAGCAAATCCAGTACTCTGTTCTAACCACATCTCCTTAAAGAAATCTTTGATCACCTCTGATTCCCGACTGTGGGTTCCTTATCCCTCAGCTAGTGCTTCCCCCTATCCTGCTTTCCCGCTTCCATGCCCTGCCTTATAGTCATCTCCTTACCTGCCTGATCAGTCAGAAGGGAAAATCCTGACCGTTCTCACAGAATCCCTGGGGTCTGGTCTAGGATGGTGCTGCATATATCATCTAGTTCCTCACTGAATGCCTGGGTTTTCGCTTTTGTTTACTATATTGTTTTTGAGGTGCTGGGATTCAACCCAGAACCTTGCACATACCAGGTAAGTACTTTATCACTAAGAGGAAGCCCAGACCTTTTTCAATTTTTTAAGCTGGAGACAGAATCTTGCCAACTTGTCAAGGCTGGTTTTGAACTTGGGAGTCTTCCTTCTTCAGATTCTAGAGTAAGGGGGATTACAGGCAAATGCCACAATGTCTGGCTCTTTTCCCATTTTGGTCTGATTGGCAACTCCTACTCATATTTTAACTTTAGCACAGTTCAGACGTCACTCTTCAATGAAACCTCTAGTCTGGGCCAAGGTCTTTCCATAAATTGGTGTTCCCATAGCAATTTGCATGTCTCCATTATCATATGTCATTCACCCAACACATTTTCCATTGAGTTCTTTTTTATGTGCCAGAACTGGATACATCAGTGAACACAAAGGATGAGGAAAAATATCCAAACTCATGGTGTTTCCTAGCAGCATAGGAGTAGGCAATGGGGTGAATGGTGAGGAGTGAGGTCAGGGAAGTATCTGAAGATCAGTTTCTTTAAGATCTTTTGCTCTGTGTGTCATGGGAGTCATTGGAGCACTTTGAGATGTGATACAACTTGACTCATGGTTACCAGGATCATTCTATCTACAACTGGGAATAGAATCTTGGAGGTGAGGGAAGTAGGGACCTAAGCAAAAATAGCAGTTCCAAGTATTGTAATGATCCAGTGGAGAGATAATAGGTACTTAGACCATGGGGATGGTGGTTGAGATGGTAAGTAGCTGGATTCTACATGGTTTGTTATGATCTGTGCATGTGTTTGTCATCTACATTAGACCGTAAATCCACAAGCACCAGGTATTGTGTATTTCTGTATTTCAATGTTCTATACTAAGCCTATCACACAGTAGGTATTTGACAACTGCTGAAAACATTCTCTGAGGGCATCCTCTAAGCATCCATCCCATGATAACCCAGCCAGTCCCTTGACTGCCCTCAGGTGGTTCTCAGTGAATGAGTTAATATAGAACAAAGCCACTCTCTCCTAGAGCCCTAGACTAATGGACTTTTTCTGCTCTTCTTTCCCCAACTTCAAGATCTAAAAATGCCCACCATGTCCAAATACTCACTAGGCATAATGTGAAGGGTAAAAGGAAGTAATCAGAGGAAAGAAGGGTATCTAGCAGGTTTCCCAGAGAGGGTGTCATTGTAGATAGAGCTCCAGAAGGACTAAGGCACCATGACAAGAGAGTCCCCCAACCTAGGGACCCACCCTGTCTTGAGTGCTAGCTTCACAAAACCTTTATGATTTTTGAGGTAGACTGTGGAGGCTCCTGGGCGGCACAAGAGGGCTTCAGAAGCTCCACCCACCACAATGATCACAGCATTGCCTGAGCCTTTCTGGGTCAGCTTGTACTTCAGGGCCAGTTCACTCACTGGACATATACCTGTGAAACCAAAGAGTCAAGTAGATAGAATGAACTTGTTGCCTAAGTGTGGGAGAAGGGTTCTCCCAGGGTCTTCCTGCTGGAGACAGCTAGTACCTTCTGTCTTTGTTCTTCATGGCTTGGGTTAAGCCTGTGAAGATAACCTTAATGGCAGCTGCTTGCTTGCCTTGGTAGGACTCTGGGCTTCTACAGTAAGGGCTATACTGATTTTCTCTGCCTGCCCATTCATAGTCTCCTGTCTTCCAGATGAAACTTTTTCATTTCTACCCACAGACTGTAGAGCTATCTTTCTCTCTCTGTCCAGGATGACCACTCTGGAAACCCTCCAGAGGTATTTCTTCTGGAGGTCATCAGGCTAGCTACCACCTGTGTGCTTCCTCTCTAAGATCAAGATACCAAAAGGATCCAGTGACTGGGATTTTGGGTGAGCAGGCAGACCAAGCCAAATTGAAATGTAGATGAACAATGGGATGTGGATGGCATCTGTTGTTCAACAAAAGCTGCAGATGTTCATCACTTTGAAATCCCATTTTTTGCATTGAATTCATCTTCTGTTCTTTACTGGGATGGCAGAATTTGCATACAAGGTCTAGCCACTGAGAGAAACCCTTGCTCCATGGCCATACCAACCTAAGAGGGGAACTGAAATGTCATCTGGGATTCCCCTCAAGATAAATGTAGCTTACCTTTAGTTTTCCTTCGGTTGCTTTCTGATGTTCAGAGAGATAAATATTCATCCAGAGAGAAGGGAATCTGTCACAGTGCCCTGGTTTGAAGCCCGGCACTGGGAAGTTGTCGTCAATTCTGATAGATGATTGTCCTTTACCCTTTGGCATATTTAGCAAGGATGAAGAGGTTCCCAGGAGATGAAGGGTATGGACCAAGACTGTATGCACTAACTGGTATGAAAGACTTTATAATGTCTTAAAAGGTGCCTTGAAATGAGAGCTGAACGGAGCCAATCGCCATCCCAGAAAAGAATCTGGCATGATTTCCCTGTACTCATGTTTAATATGTTGCTTTTACTCCCTGCTTTCCATTTAGGTTTGATTCTGCACTTGGCCTTCTGATTACCCCTTGTAAGGAATCCTAGCAACTTGTGAATGTCTGTAACTTGCTCTGCTGCCAAATAAAACTGCCTCTCACACTTTTGTACAGAGACTGATGCTAGGACACATACTCCTGATACTGGCCAGTCTCTAAAAAAATCAATCAAGTTTTCTAGCACAGAGTGTCTGTTGGGACTTATTGGGTAGGCATTTTGAGTTGGATTTCAGAAGGGGATGATTTCTTGTACTCACCCATGGACATCACATAATCTCGTACAATTGGGATCCAGAAGATCCCTTCCAAGGTTGCTAAACAGGGAGTGATAGATGGGAAAATCCTGGAAAAGCCAGTGGCTTCAGTAGCAAAGTTGATGAAGGCACCATGAGCGAGAATACCATGGGGGTGGGAGACAATGATGTAGTTGTGTTTGGGAGAAAGGTCATGGGTCTTCACCAGCTGTTAGAGGAAGATTGAGGGAAACTGAGCAAGCAGAAGAAAGAAATGATGTGAAAACCTAGATCCAAGCCAACAGCCTCTAGATCCTTGCTCATTAGGATGTCATTGTCATAGAGATCCCCAGGGATCATGGTACTAAGAGATGTTGGCCTGGGTTTGACACTGTGGAAAGGTGTTGTTCATCTGTCTCCCAACCTGCACATCTATTTTGGGTTTCTGTTCTACCTTTTCCTGCTAGGCCTTCTCCTTAACTGTTGGCCATCAGAGTCTTTGAAAACCTGGCTCTCAATAGGGAGTGGGAGCTCAAGCAATAAGGAGCAAGGGCATCCAGAAGAAAGAAGGACACCCAGAGGAAAGGTACCTTTACTGGGAAGTAACTTTGGAAATACTTCCAGAGGGTCCAGTTTCGTATCCAAGCTGAACGCCTACCATCTGTGGACAGAGGAAAAAGAGAAGAACAAGTAGGCCATTGCCAGTCAGTCCCTCTACCCCTCCCAGAGGTGAAGAGACTGGCCTATGCTCTGCAAGCTACAGAAGCAGTGTCCTTCTTAGTCTTTTAAAGCTCCATGGGCAGTCAGCCAGAGACCTTTTTGCTTTTCTCATCGCTCCATCCACCTCCCTCTTCCCTGTCTCTATAACTCCACCCTTACTTAGCACAGAAGGGACCACAATTCTGCTCACATCTCTTACCTTGACTGTGCGTGTTCCAGTCATAGGCAAGCCAGATTAAGGGGAGCACAGATAAGGGCCACAAGCTACTGAACAGCAGGCAATAGGGTATACCAAGGATGGGAATCGCTCCTGAGGAGACACAACCGATATATGCCCTTCAGTTTCTTTCGAGGCTTGTACACATCTCACAACCTCATCTCACCTCTGCCTCTACACTAAAGGAGTAGGCAAGGATGCTATGGGGACCTTCTTTTCCTTTCCCCTCAGCCATTGCCTATCTCTTGCTCTGGCTTAGGCCGCTGTCCAGGGTCTTGGATCTGGGTCCTCCTGAAGTCTGAGATCTTATCCAAGGAAGCAGCAGAACCATGAAGTTCTCAGAGTAGGCCTTCAGCTGGAATCAAAGGGCAGAACTGCTTGGCAAAAGGAAGAAGAAACACATTGGGCTGGTGGCTGATTAGCTTCACCCTGGCAGTTCAGAAGGTTTCTTATAAAAGCTAGATTTTCCTTGCTTTGTTGAACTGATAAGACCATACATTCTGAGGGTAGAGGCCTACCTGCGGTGTACAGGCAGTTTGATGCTGAGAAGAAAGTGTAGATTAGAAACTGCTTCATTGTATTTATTTTGTCCCCTTCAAAGGGTTACTAAATGTCCAGAAGAGGGAAAATGTGACTCTATTAGCAAACAGACATGGCAGACTACAAAATGCAAACATGCTGTGTCTTACAGTAGCAAGGTAACTATTAACTACCTAACTAACTAAATAAATAAATAAATGATTTAATTATTTATTTCTCCTGGGATGGGACCCAGGGCCTTGTTCATACTAGACAAGTGTTCTACCACTGAACTACATCCTCAGTAATGGGTTCCACTTTGAATCAACAAAGTCTTAGGACAGTTGCTCTGAGTACCTCCAGTGTGAAGCTCACAGAGGCCCTTATGTTATCAAGACATCAACACAGGCCTGGCTTAGCAGTACATGCCTTTAATCACAACACTCAGGAATTAGAGGCAGACAGATCTCTGTGAGTTTGAGCCCAGCCTGGTCTACAGAGCAAGTTCCAAGACAGCCAGAGCTACATAGTGAGACCCTGTCTCGAACAGACAACAAACAAAAAAGACACTAACACAGCAAGGGTGTTCTGAGATGGTGTCTTGTTTTTTGGGTTTTTTGAGACAGGGTTTCTCTGTGTAGCTTTGGAGCCTATCCTGGCACTCACTCTGGAGACCAGGCTGGCCTCGAACTCACAGAGATCCACCTGCCTCTGCCTCCCGAGTGCTGGGATTAAAGGCATGTGCCACCAACGCCCGGCCTGAGATGGTGTTTTAGGGTTAGTCGATGAGTGCTGAGCAGTATGAAGAGGAGAGGGTTTTCTGGTGTTTCCTTCAGCTAGTGCTGCTGTGGTTTGGAATACAGCCTTTCCCACTCTTCAAAATGTTCACGTGGCGCAGATTTTCTAAGCCTCCCTGATTTCCACAGCACTCTGCTTCAGTGTTCCTACTCACAGGGAATGGGGAGCTCCCTAGATCACATCAATCCCTCTGATACAGACTCCAAACTACCTCCGCTGCTTTGGGAAGTTCCCTATTTGACTTTGCTGTTTAAGCTAGAACTACCAGGCACTGTCCACCTCTTCTGATAGCTATTATTTAGCTTTCTCCAGTTTCCTATCTTCTTGTAGACTCTAGCAGACCATGTCTGCATGTTACCACTGTCTTCTGACCACAAATGTGGGATTTATAGAGGTAGAAGAGCTGGTGTGGTGGTGTGCACCGGTGATCTTAGCAACTGGGAGGCAGAGGCAGGAGGACCAAGAGTTTAAGTGCATCTTTGGATACTTCATGAGGCTGGGCTACATGAGACTCTATCTCAAGGAGAGAGGGGAGGGGGAGAGAGGGGGAGAAGAAAAGGGAGAATATGTGAAAATGTGGAAAAGCTAAAGATCATGGAACAACAAGTTCCAGGACATAGGGTATCTGAGGAAGTGATGATGGATAATAAGTGTGTGTATGTGTGCATATGTGCACATGCATGTACAGACACGAGAATGACTTTTGGGAATTCTCTACCACTGAGGAACACTCACATCTCTGTTTTCATTTTAAAATGAAACATCTTTAAGTTGCCAAGGCTAGCCTGGAACTCATTCTGTAGCCTAGGCAAACTTTGAACTTGTGATCCTCCTGTCTACAGAATGGGTGGGATTATAGGCCTGCACCACCAGGCCCAGCTCTCTACTGAAAACTGATAATTTTCTTTTTCACATTTAGATCTATGGGCTATTCCAAGTTGTCTTTCACACATTGCACTGTGGTACATGCTTATCTACATGCACAAAACTAAACTTTTAATAATAAAAAGACAGTGTCTGTGCATCACCACTCTGTGAAATTTCTTACCTATATGATTTCTTCCATCTTGATTTTGTTTAGTAGACAAAAGCTTTTCTGGCTGGCTGTGATGTCATCCACCTTTAATTTTAGCACTTGGGAGGCAGAGGTAAGAGGATCTCAGTGAGTTCAAGGCCAGCCTGATCTACGTAGTAAGTTCCAGAACAGCCAGGGCTATGTAGACAGACCCTGTCTCAAAAACAACAAGCCAAACAAACAAACAAACAAACAAAGCTTTTCTAAAACTCTGAATTCTGTTCCTCTCATACTTACTAGGGATTGAAGCTAGGGTCCATATGCTATATAAGCACTCTACCACTGAGCTATGTCCCTAGGCTGAAAGTCTGAATCTTCTAAGGATGGCTCATCTCCTCCCTAAGAGTTAGAGCACTCCTCCTACAGTTAAAAAATGTGATTTACAGCACCTTTCAGCCCATTTCAACACACAAGCCAAACAAAATCTCCAAAAAGTAGCTAGAGGCCAAATTTTCCAGTCTTCTCACTTTGTAGAGCTGTGGTATCAACCAGATTTCTCTTGACATGAAACTTTTGGTAGCCTTTGATGGGCATGACCACTGGTAGTTCCCCACCTCAACCAAATCAGGATCCATATAGGCCCTGGCTTACAAAGCCCTCTCAGGAAAAAAGTTACGTGCAAGAAGCAAGTACTACCATGCGACAATGGTGTGATCCAGGAGCAGCTCTCCTGCAGCACCCAGATATCCTGCACAAAATCCAGGGGCAGGCTACTGAGGATGTAGGCATGCTAGGTAGTCAACCCAGTCAGTGCTATGAGGGCACATCTGGGCTCTGGGTTAACCTCTCTGGTTTGGGGAGACAGAAAAGCAGGCCCTGGGCAACTGCACTGGTATACCCACTTCCTGGGAGGCTTCACATCACCTTTTATTTCCAACTGTATTTTGTTGGAAATTTTAGAGTTTTCTCTAGATAAGATCATGTCATCTACTAACATACAATTCCACTTCTCTTTCAGTTTTGATGTCCTTTATTTCTTTTCCTTTCCAGTTGCCCTAAAAATTATAGTACTCTGTTGAATAGAAAGGATAAGGGTATAAAAAGAATTGCCTTCTCATTGTACATTGAGTATGATTGTAGCTGTGGGCTTTTTATATGTGGACTTCACTATTCGGAGATATATTCCTTCTGTTATCCAGGTTGGTGAAAAATTTTACCTTGAATGAATATTGAATTTTGTCAAGTTCTGGTTTCTGAATTTATTGAGACAACTCTGTGATTTTTATTTTTCTTTGTGTTAATGTTGTGACTAGCATTTACTGACTTTAACATGTCAAGTAATAAACTCACATCCAAGTAATAAATCTCACTTGGTCACGGTGAATAGTTTTGATTACTATTGGCTTTGTTTGCCGATGTTTGCTGAGGAACTCTGCTTCTGCGTTCATCTGGGATATGGGCTTCTACTTCCCTTGTAGTATCCTATGACAGTGAGGCTTGTAGGGAGTCACCCTAGCCCCGCCCAATACCTGCCCCAGGGCTATTGGGCGGGGCTAGGGTGACTCCCTACAGAGGCTGACTTAGTAAATGAGTTGGGAAGAGTTTTAAAATGTTGAAGTAACTCTTCTTAAATGTTTGGTAGAATTCAGTGACAGAGTCATCTGATTCTGGGCTTTGATTTGTTGAGAAGTTTTTGACTACTGACTCAATCTATACTTTATTATCATATGCACATTTTCTGATTGGTGTTTATATTTCTGTTTTCCCATGATTCCTACTTGCTAGAGATTTCTCCACTTCATTTAGGTTATACAGTTTGTTGTTTGTATGAGACTTTTCATATTAGCCTCTTGAGATCCCCGCTCTTTCCCTGGTGGCAGTTATGACACTTTAATTTTTAAATTTCATTTAATATTCTCTTTGTTGTTACCATTTGTTAATTTTATTTTTATCTTCAAGATACTAATGTTTTCTTTTGCTGATATTTTCATTTCATTTATTTGTGCACTGATCTGTTAGTCCTTCTTTGTGTTACCATCAGTTAACCTGGCTGGCTCTGCTTCCAGCTCCCTTGAGGTATAAACTTAGTTTTCTTGTTATTTGAGATCTTTATCTTTTTCTTTCGGTAGGTGCCTATCAACATAAACTTTTTGTTGGATTTATAAGTATTTGATTTGAGGAAGTATTTAATGCTGTTGAGTTTTAAATGTCTATTTTCAGCTGCTTCTTATTTTGATTGGCCCTCCCTCCTTGCCTCCTTTCCTCCCTCCCTCTCTCTTTGTTTCTCAAATGGGATCTCATTGTGTAGTCAGTCTAGACTGGCCTTGATCTCCCAATCTTCCTACTTCAGCCTGATAATGGCTAAAAAACAAACAAACAAAAGAAGAAAATCAAAACCAAAAACATACAACTACATGAATAGGTCACAAATTCTTTAAGAATTTTTTTTCTGAGTAATCATGGTATCTGCAAACATTTTACTATCTTGTTGCATTTGTTAGAATTTTTAGTGAGTTGATACAAGTACTGAAGGTACTTTTCCCCAGTTTTAGAGATCGGGTTCTGTCTTTCATCAAGTGTAGTGATGATAGCTGTGGGGGTTCTTTTTCTTTAGTTTGACAATGTTCCTTTCTATTCCTACTTTGCTGAGAGGCAATTTTTTTGTCTTGTTTTTTTCTTTGTGTGTGTGTGTGGTATCCATGCATGTGCATGCATTTTTACATGTGTACAGGTGCAAGTGTGTGTGTGTGGTGTACATGTG